TTGCTCCCTCCCGGGCCGCCGGGACCCGCAACAATGGGGGCAGAGGAGGGACGCTGCCCGGGCCGCTGGCGTGTAGCGGCCTGGGGCAGCAAGACAAGTCCCGGCGGCCCAGGCCTTGGGGGCACCGTGTCCAACCTGGGAAACTCCAGTGGCTGAAGGCTTATGGGGAGGTCTTGGCCACGACCTGGGGCCTCAGCGGCTTGATAATTTGAGAATTTCGTAGTCAGGAAAGGGAATCCTAGGGGCTCGGAGACTTAACTGTTAGTGGCGGTGCGCTCTTGGCCCGTGATGCTGGCGTCCCGAAGGCTGAACAGAGTGGGGTAGATAGGTGAGAGGTTTGGAATTTTAGGGGCCTCTGTGTGCCTGGTTCTCACGGTATATCGGGATGCGTCTCCTCCACACCCCCTCTCCAAGTCTAGGAATTTAGCAGGCTGGAGTTAGGGTGTGGAGGAAGAGGCTTGGGGAGTTCAGCTTCTCTGAGGGTAACTGGTGATTAGTTCCTGGAAAGGCAAAGAGATCAGCTGGGCACAGGAGACTTGAGCAGACCTGGATCCTCCAGGCCCAGTGCACCCTAATGTGAGTGGTTCTCAGGCAGGACTCTACGTGAGAATCACACGGTTAATAGTTCTTGGCCGCCTTGGTGTTAGGGAGAGGCCAGTGGGAGTTGTGATTTGGGAAGCGTAGAGGAGGGTAGGTGGGCTGCTGAGGTTGGAGAATCAGCTTTATGTAGCCTGGGAGATGAGCAAGGGAACTCTGCAGAGTGGGCTTCCTGATACGGGATGACCTGTTACTGCGGAGGAGTGGGTGACTCAGATCTGTTAGTATCCCTGCCATTTGCTAGCTAGCAGATGTGGCTGGCTGTATTAGTGGCTGGACATTGTAGGGGATGAGGCTGTAAAGGGGCGTTTGGGATTGGAAGAGGGTTGTTTGTTTTTGTTTTTTTTTTTTCCCCTTTTCCTGAGTAGGAGACAGTGGACCTTCCTACTTCAAGTTAGAGTGGTGGTTGTCTCTGACAATATCTTAAGTAAGGAATTTCTTTGCAGTCTTTGGATCCAAAGCTTTCCTCTGTTCTTTCTTTCTTTTCCTCCTTTGTTTTTGAATCGTGACTCATACTTTCTTTTCAGCACTGTGGCTATTGTTTGTAATGATTGACAAACTTAAAACACCATGGTATATGTAAATTCTAGCGGTTTTCTATCCAAATTTTATGAATATAAATTAATTTAAAAGCCTGTGTTCACCAATTTGTGTACCATTGTTTGATGTGTACAACTTTAAAAAAAAAGTTATTTAGTTTTATTTATCATTTTTTAAATTTGACCAGAGAAAGACAGAAGGGAGAGAGAAAGGGAAAGTGACAAAGCAAGCTACCAGGTCTGGGACTCAAACAGTGGTCCGCCATGTAAGAGTCCAGCTACCTGCTGTCCCTTGTGTGTAACTTTTTTTTTTTTTTTGAGAGGCTTTTTGCTATAGGATACGTGTGCTCGCCAGAAAGACAGAGAGAGACAGAGTCAGAAAGCGAGAAATCACCCCACCAAGGAGATGGCCACTCCACAATCCCTTCTCCTCCATTCTCTCTGGATCTTGGGCACACTCGCACATGGCTCAGCGTGAATTTAAGCCACCAGTCCTGGACTCGAACTGCAGTTGACTACATGGGAGTCCAGTGACATAGCCATTACGCCAATTGCTGGTCCCCCTTGTGTGTAACTTTTTAAAAAAATTATTTATTTCTACCAAGAGAGAAAAAAAAGAGAAACAAGCACCCTTAAGATCGTCATGCCAAGATCTGCCCCTAGTCCCAAGGTGGATCATAGTGTGTGCACCTTTAGAGAAGAATGTGAAAAATAATAGTTTATGTTATTAAAAGCTCCTCACCTTCCTGAATTCATGAGATTTCAATTTTCTCTGTTATGAAGTGATTATGATGAATCTGCTAAATCTCAGTGACTGTCATTTCAGCACCCTTTAACTCTCACAGGACATTATCTTCTCCAGAAGTGTTACCCGTCTTCAGTGCATCTGGTCTGCACACTGTGTTTCTCTGTGACAGTCTGTGTCATTGAAGGGCAGTGTGCAGACTCCAACTCTGAGGCCTGCAGCTGTGCAGCAGAGCTCTTGTATGTATTATTCAGGCAAAAATGGATGTGTTGTCTTAGATAAGATATTTAAAAAATCCTATAGGAGGAAAAACAGTATCAGAGTGTTGTACCTTCTAAGTTTATTTAAAGTCATAGGAGGTCGGGTCTAATTGGAGTCTAGTACACATTTTTATGTGAGATGGACGCTTTGTAGTTCTGATAGTTCTAGTTATTCTGGGGATTTTTTTTTCCTTTGAGCTTGAAAAATTTTTTATTTTCCTTCAGTAGCATTCTCTCTGTCTTCTAAATTTTTTTAAGTCATTTCTTCTTTCATAAGCCAATGTATAATGCATTGTACCAGGTACTGTGTTGGGCACCTTCAAAATGACGAAGTTTGTGACATTTCGATAGTAGTTTCTAGTTCAGAGAGGGCTGTATGTATATGAAGAAAGACATGATTCAAGTATACTAAGCTTTTAAAACATATAGCTATTAAATAAAGTTTATGTAATTATTTGACTAGTAACAATTGATTAGCTTTATATGTTTTCATGGAAATAATTTAGCTCTGTGTGTGTTCACACTGGTATGGGTTTGTTTTTGCATTATTTTATTTAAATATACCCATTAAATTTAAGTACTCCTGTAGACAACCCCCAAGGTAAAACTTTTTTTTTTTTTAGTGTGTGTCTTAATGAGCAGTGATTTACAATTACTGTGTATGTGTTCAGGTTCCCCAGGAAGCCATCACACTCCTTCCCACTGTGGTTTTGGGAGCATGAAGGCGTTGCTTACCCCCTGTGTCTGGTTCACTGTATGTAGGCTGGGAGTGTCTGCTGATTGCTCGGAGTGCTGTCTCTTGGAACAGGAGGAGTAAGATTGAGGTAAGGCTTGGCCTATTTGAAGTTCTTTGCCTCTTAATTTTTACTGCATAAGATATAATGTAAACCCGAACGGTATTTTATTTTGCTTTAATTATTAATCTTTATTCCAACTGAGTAAAATGAAATTCTGCTCTTTGCTGTCTTTTCCTCTCTGTGCATAAAGGAAATAAAAATAAAGGAAGACATTTAAAATCAAGGCACTTAGATCATAAATAACTTCTTGTGCATATCTCATTCTATCAGGAATATTCATTTGATCAAATCAAATCAAAGCTGGTTTATTTTGTTGCTTTGATTTTTGGCTACCTCTGAGTCAAATGAATCAACATCAGCAACTCTTGGAAAAGAGGCTTAGAGTTTTGATTCCTTTAGGAGGATTCTCAGAGGTGCCTACTACAATGAGAAAAGAACATGGTTTTTGGAGCCATCCCATCTTCCTTCTTGCTTCTTGACTTATTTTTGGTCCTGGGTAACTGTTAACCTCTCTGTGCTTCAGTTTGTTTTTGCTTTGATGGAGTGGGGTTAATGCAACTTCTTTGGAGATTTTAGTGAGGCTGGAGATGAGGGCCTCATGCTTGGTGGGTGGTCAGAACTGGCTGTTAGTAGTCATGTGTAATATTATGTAGGGCCATGGGACCAGCAATTAGCATAATGGCTATGTCACTGGACTCTCATGTAGTCTCTGGCAAGCGCACACGCCATATAGCAAAAAAAAAAAAGACCTCTCCAAAAAAAAGAAAATTATGTAGAGCCATTGTTTTCAGTAGTATTAATAGTGGGTTGAGGCTGGGTATTATGCAGGGATGGGGGGCTCAGTTTCCTTATCTGGAAAGGAAGGCAGCTGTGGTGTCTGCATTTGCTGATATTCTGGACAATTCTGGGAATTTCTTTTTGTTTGTTTGTTTTTGTTTTGTTTTGAAGAGGTTTTTGCTATAGGGCATGTACGCTCCAGAAAGACAGAGACAGAGAGATAGAAAGCGAGAAGTCACCCCAGGTGATTTCTCATCCCCAGGGGGGATGGCCATGCCATAATCCCTTCTCCTCCATTCTCCTCTCAAGATCTTGGGCACACACACGTCTGGCGTGAGTTTAAGCCACTAGGTCCAGGACTCGAACCGTGGTCGACTATATGGGAGTTCAGCGACATAGCCATTACGCTAACTGCTGGTCCTAGGACAGGGAATTGTTGAGGTAGTCTTTATCCAGCACTGTAGGCAGGAGTCCGAGGTAGTCCCTGGAGCGGGTAGGGTTTTTCTTGGCACCTTCTATGGAGCAGCCCAGAGATAACTGGCATGTGTTTGGTTGGGAACCGTGGACATTCCCATTGACAGGTACCAGAGTATACCAGGCAGTGTATGTGTGACCCCTGATCTGGATCTTCTCTGGCTTTCTTCTGTTGGCATCAGAGACCCAGCTTTGGTCTTTTTGCCTGGAAGGCTAGATGCTGGAGAGATTTGTCATCTTTCTCTAATTGGGGTTACTTTGATAGAATCTAGCACTGTATTCAGGCATGTCTTTGAACAGAAGGTTCACAGACTTTGTTATAGAATTGTTCAGTGTTATTTTTTTCCCTGTGCAAGGAACAAAATCCTATTAATATTCAAGAGAAAAGTGATTAGAGGTCAGAAGTGATTAGAAATAACTAGCTCTTAAATCCCTTCCAGTCTTGCCCTGGTCAGATCTCCCTTCCAGAGTACTCTTTAATTCCAGTTAAGAGTAACATTTCTCTGACCTCAAAATAACTACAAAAATCTAGACTGGCATGTCTGTGCTTCAGCATCTCACAAAGACCTTTATGACCTGGCCCCTTGTGTCTTCCTTTCTAGTTTCTCCTCTGCTGTAATTCTTCTGTCACTGAAGGCTCAGTTATAGTGACCTTGATGGTCCAGCATGCTCAGACTTTCTTCTCCTAATTTTCCTCCTCATTCTGGTGATTGGCTGACTTAAGTCTTGAACCAGGAGTTCAGGCATCACTTTCTATCTCTCTAAAATTTTTGCCAGAAAGGAGTGTGCTTATACCAAGGAGAGATAGAGAGGGAGAGAGAAGGAGAAAGACCTACCTAGTGAGGTCTGGTCATGCCACAGTCTCTTCTCCATTTTTCCATCCTATCGAGATCCCAGGCACACACACATATGCATGGCACATTTCTCAAGCCACTAGGGACAGGATTTGAACCACACAGTCAGCCATGTGGGATTTGACTCCCTTAATCACTAGGCCATGGAATGGGTACTACCTCTCTAAATAATTAAAGCCTTCCTTGATTCTCTCCAGGTTCATGTAAACACTTCTCTGATTTAGTTTTCTAGTTTGGCCAACATTCTTTCATAATCACACTGAATTGTTAAGTTTTTACATTTTTGTGTTTTCCACACCTATATTGTAACCTGAGAGCAGGACCTTGCCTCATTTATCTTTATATCCTAACTTTCCTATTATCTTTAGGACCTAACTATTTCTTGCACAGAGTAGTGACTTGGTAAATGTCTGTGGATTGAACAGAGAATGGCCTCTGCTCATGAATGACAGGAAATAATTTTTTAAAATATAATTTTATTATTATTATTACTTCTTTTGAGAGAGAGAGATTTTTGCCATAGGGCATATGAACTCACCAGAAAGACAGAGAGAGAAAGTGACAAAGCAAGCTGCCAGGTCTGAGACTCAAACCTTGGTCAGCCGTTGGGAGTCTAATACCCTATCCACCATGCCACCTGCTAATTTCTTGTGGAGTTGGTGATCTGATGAGAGATCTGACTTCGTAGCTGCATCAGTGATTAATAATATTCTTGTGGAGCTGGTGGTCTGGTAAGAGATCTGACTTCGTAGCTGCATCTAATCCTGATTGAAGCACTGACTCTGCTTGTGTGTTTCCAGGTGGCCAAAGGCAACATTTACTTCGCCGTAAAAATGTGTTGCTTATTCCATATGTTCGCAATTTGAGACTGGAGGCTATTACTCATTCTGTTTGGGTCATGCAAAAGTTTCCTTTGGGAGAGCAGGTGACAATTCCTCTTTGGTATCATCTAGATCTTCTCTGAGCCATTTACTGCTTGAAGTACTTTGTCCTCATGTGTGAAGAAGGGACTGGACAGTTGGGCCACGAGACCTCTTTATTCAGGAATTCAAATTCAGTGACTGGGATGATGTGTACCAGTTACCTGCCCAGTCTAGAGCTATGCTTGCATTGAAACTGATATATTAATACTTTGTCAGGAGGCTGTATGTTCTAAATTATTTACTTAGAACTTACGTAATTATGCTGGTTCACTCAGTTACCCTCTTGGTTTTCAGTGGTAGCATAATTTGAGAGTATACTATGTAGATTACTTTGATTTCTTTTTCATGGTTGATCAGACCACATAGAAATTTCACTGAATGCTGGGTGTTAGGAAGCTTATCAGAGCCTATATAATGCAGCTATTCTTTCACGCAAGGGATAAACAGAGCCAAATGCAGAAAAGGGAAGCATGAAAAGTTGCTGTAGTGAGGTTAAAGATAAAAATTGATCTGAGATAAAAAGGAAAACTGAGGCAAAACATAAGGCACTTTAAATTTGGCAGCAGCTGTTAAATGAAGACATTTTGTGAGCAGCATCGAGATGTTGAGAAGGAAGTTGTTATATTACAGGTTGGAAGCAATAAAAACATGCACATTTCAGCCAGCATAGGCACAGTGGAGGCGCCCGCACTTACGGACGGTTTTCAGCACTGTCAGTGGACAGTTATATTAGGCAGAAATGAAAAATGTTTGCTTTATTATGATAAGTCTGCTTTGCATATGTATGATGTTATAGTTTATAAATCACTTTCCTATGTATTTACATCATCCTCCCAACAGTCCTGTGAGGCAGATGTCTTTATTTTACAGATGAGGAAGCAATTGGAAGAGAAATGGCGTGCTTTCATGCACAAAGCCAGTAAGAAAAAGCTGGGACCTGCCAGTTTTCTGATGCTAAGTTTAAGGCCCTTTTTTTGTCCTCATAGGATATCGTTAGCGCTTCAGTTTGGGGTGATAGTCACCCCTTTTTCCAGGCTCCTGGTCAATAGAGGATACGTACAAAGAAGACAGTGCCACACAGGGAACAGTCTCTGTTCTAGTAACAGCAGGTTGGGGCCAGCAGTGGCTTGCTGCTTAGGCTGGACTCCCACATGGCAAACTGCAGTTCAAGTCCCATACCTGGTGGCTTGCTTTCTCACTTTCCCTCTCTCTCTGTCTCTTCGGTGAGCATATGTGCCCTTTAGCAAATTAAAATAATAATAATAATAATAATAAACTGAATAAATACTTCTAAAAAAAACAGCAGCTGGTAGCTCTGGAAGAGCTGGGTGGTGGAAGAACCTAGAAGGAGCTCCATCCAGTCTTCTCACACATTGCCTGGTAGTCAAGAGGCAAACCCAGAGCTGCAGAGTTGGCTTTGCAGTTCAGGCCCATGACACAATTAGGTGTCTTTCTCCTTACGCAGTGTTGTATAGGAACTGGAAGAAGAGTGGAGGTTTGGGAACAAATCCTTTGGTTGTACTCTGGCTTGAGCTTATACCCTGTTCTGAGAGTGCCTTCCAGGTCCTGCTGTCCTCTATCTCCCATCTCCATCTTTCTCTCTGTGTTTCGCTCACCTCCCACCCTAGCTGGGATGCTGCTGACTGTGGTTCAGAGTGTCTGAGTGCCGCCTCCCCCAGGTCTTAGAACCCTTTGCTTTCTTGACTCTTCCCTGTCCACTATTGCCGTTTATGATCCCTGAATTCTCTTCTCTGACTGCTTTCACTGCCCCTAGGCTGCCTGTGGCCACTGTTTCTGGGGAGTTAGGACCGTGTGCTGTCTTGGGTGCCAGCAATTCCCACTACCTTACTTGAGTGGAGCTCTCTCTACCCCAGGATGCTCCTGTGCTGCCTCCTGAAGGTCCCTTTCCCCACAACAACTGCTTACATATTTCCCAAAACTCGCCTTCTTCTCAGGCCCCGGGCCTGTGATCTCACTTTAGGGCTTATGCTCTCTAATA